TTAAATAGTGAATGTTGGTGGAGCAGAAAACTACAAAATCCAAACTTTGATCATTTGGAATTTTGGGGAATTTTTACAAGTCAGCTGTTTGGAACTAAATTCACTTTACCGCAGTTTAGTATATTGTTCTCCCACCACAATTACCAATTTAGGGTGTAGGCCAATATTCTAGAACCCAAATCATGAATAAAATCACAGTCCTATTAAATGTGAGACCAACTACTAATGTTCACAAAGTTTACATATAGTGAATCTAATGGTTTTCACAGCAAGCAAACGATGACGAGATAAACTAAGAGACATGTTTCACTAAACTGTGTTAGGGACGGAGACGCCAGTGAAACGTTATGAGAATTAATTTTACCAAGTGCATAGAAACAATTTACTTAAAAAATAAATCCGATTAAGTCTTTAATTCCATAAAAATTCAGCTCTTTGAAGTTATTTTATAAGATTCCCTGAGTCTCCATATCTAACAAGCTAGATTTACAATGCCCAGCAAACAATGAATTTCACACAATGAGATTACATTGACAATGTCAATCCAATCACGCTGCAGTTACCCAGAATGCTCACCTGTATGGAAACTGGCGATAATGTCCAAAACATAAAGGAAATCGCACAGATAGTCAAGGCTCAACCAGACGCTCAGGTAGTGGTACTGCAGGTCCGTGAAGCAAGCCCTGGAAATAGAAAGGTCCAACTGAGTGTTCACACAGTCATTAACCTATACACGGTCAGTAAACAGTCTGAGGGTCGTTCCTTAATTTCCAAACTTTGTATGGACCACAAACTCTTGGGAACACGTTAAATCATCATCAACTACATAGCACCAACATATTCTGTGCTGCATCACATTGAACGAGTGGCCAAGGCTTGTTTTCCCTCTCCTTACCCTGTTATAGAGCATGTTTTGGGAAAGCTCTAAAAAAAATTGTATAAGTTGTACCTTTTTGTAATTTTGTGTAATTATTTGTTTAGTGCAGACAGGAAAATTGCTACTTCATATACATTATTATATCATGACAGGCGCACAGTCGGATTTACCGACATATGCGCTAACATTACCCTGAACCCCAATAAGACACGCACACAGGTTATACTGTTGGAAATATTAGTCCACAGCTTTATTAATTAATGAATAACAAATAGGGTCATTGACAAAAAATATTATTAAAGCCCCCATATACATAACATACCCCTGGCAATGGCCCCACAATAATAACAATCTAATTAACATATTAACACAGAAACTGGCTGTCCAATGTGACCACATTTCCACCAGATTAAATTATAGGGGTGTACCAAGACACCACTACACCCACAAGTTCAATTATAGGGGTATACCAAGACACCGCTACACCCCAGGATCGGAGCCACCGACGGGTACGAAGCTACCAAGTGCAACACTGCCTAATCCACACTAAGCCCACTTCCTCCTCCATCTACCCGCCGATTTAACCTGGCCATTCCCCGCCACAGCACAGGACTTGACACCTAAAGCTCCTGAGCCCCCTCCTCCCCACCACCACCACCACACCTAAACAAGGCCTGTTAAAGGCCCAAAATAAATGTCACTCCCCACATCAAAAATATGTACACCATCCCTCCATTTTAGCGAGCCACCGCGGCCGGGTCCATGGCATGTCGCCAGTGAAACCATCTCGGACCACACCCCCAGCACACCTGGGGAACTAATGAACCATTCTGGCGGCTGTCTGTCACTGAGTGTGTATGTATGTCTGTCACTGAGTGTGTGTCTGTCAGTAAATGTGTGTGTCTGTTAGCTAGTGTGTATGCGTCTGTTTGTGAGAGTGTGTGTTTGTGGTTAAAACCCCTTCATCACTTACCTTTCTCCAGCGTCGGGAATCTCTCCACCCCAATCCGCACGCACATTCAAACCGCCCATAGGAAAGCATTACTCAATGCTTTCCTATGGACGTCCAGCATCTTCTCACTGTGATTTTCACAGTGAGAATCACGGAAGCTACTCTAGCGGCTGTCAGTGAGACAGCTACTAGAGGCTGGATTAAAGGGACACTCCAGGTACCCAGACCACTTCTGCCCATTGGAGTGGTCTAGGTGCCAATTCCCACTACCCTTAACCCTGCAACTGTAATTATTGCAGTTTTCATAAACTGTAATATTTACCTTGCAGGGTTAACTCCTCCTATAGGGCTGTCTACTAGACAGCCACTAGAGGACACTTCCGTGTTCATAGAACACGAAAAGTGTGTTATTCAATGCTTTCCTATGGGGAGGTCTAATGCGCATGCCCCGCCCACGTCAGCCTGGAGCATAGGCGGAGCCTTACCCAGCGTCGAGGGACATCGCCGCTGGATTTAGGTAAGTCACTGAAGGGGTTTTAACCCCTTCAGCAACATGGGAAGAGGGTATAACGGATCGCCTGGCACCCCGACTGGGTACCTCCGTTGAAGGATGCTTCTAGCACTTCCGGAGGGCTCCAAGCACTCTAGGAGACACCACAACCTCCGCAGGCCGAACCTCTCTTCTTTCAGAGCGAAGCAGGAACAAGCTCTTAAAAAAGAGCTTAGGAGTGATTATAGCAAGGGAATATGCAGAGCATATTGTAGCAGATTCCCCCAATAAGAGACGGCACTCCAAATTGAGTGTGAAGTAGAACTCAAGCTTTAATCAAACACTCTGCTTTTATGCACATTTTACACACCTAGAACCGCCCACAGGGTTTTGCACAACAACCAATCAATACGTACAATACACTCAGACACTCCCAGCAATTACACACAAAATCCTGTAATCCAATGACACACAATGGGTTAATGTAATTATCACAGGCAGGAAAATACACAATTTTACACAATATTCATAACTTTAAAAGTATACATCACATTCGCATAAATACATTTTACATTTTCAGAATCAGCATACTCCAAATACAAACATATGTCAAAATCATACAAATTGCTTGGATCTGAGTACTCAATATATCCGAACAGCGCTCAGATCCCACGAACAGAATAAAATCGCCATGGGGTTTAAGTTTAACAAGGACCATACACAGTGGCGTCGCTAGGGGGGGTCAGAGGGGGCCAT